GTTGAACGCATCATTGAACTGTGTGGCAGAAACGCCGAAAAACCTAAATCGAGTATGTTGAGTAACTGCCGTCCACCTTTGGCACCACCTACACTGTCTGTATCTTGTCTCGAATTGACGGGCACTGGCGTTGGCGCGGGAACCTCCGCCGCCAGTCCAGAAGGAGAAATGTATGTGAAGGTGGAAGGGAAATTTGCGTGTGACGTCGACGAGAATCAGACACGGGCAGAATGTGAAAAAGACGAATCAGGGGAACATGCATCGAGCAGTCCGCAGGAGCCATCGATTCGCGAGAGCTCGAAAGTCGCAAACAGGAACTACGTTCCAATGGCTGTCCAAAGATGCGCACTTTTGCCCGTTGAGCGAACGGATCGTCGTTCCTCCACAGAGACCGAGACGGAAAAACATACATCTCAAACGAACCCAAAATCGAAGGCTATCACATCATCGCGTCGAAAACCGAAAGTCGCTTGGGTTTCTTCCAAGGTGGCAAGCGCTCGCCCTGTTGTTCGTGTCCCTGGTCAAATCCCCGAGAGGGAGGAATATATGGAGTAATGTATAATGCTCGTTGATAAGTAAAGTAATGAATAATATCAGCACAACCGTTCCAAATCCCAGAAAAAAAACGAAATTTTGGTATACATCTCGACTCCCGAACGTCGAAGAATGCCGCCAAAGCGGCAAGCTTCGGCGTGGTATAATTTACGGATAAATACAATGAAAGAACTATCGTAGTCCCTTCAGCTCCTTCCGTCCCACATTCCGTCCACCCCATCATCCAATCGCAAGCCATATCGCGCTCCCACATCATTGGTCCAATTCCAAACCGCCGCCAGAAACAACCGGCGGGAGGTGCTCAACAGGGCCGTAGCTGTGCTCAGGTCGGATAAGTGGATGGAGTTGGGCAAGGTACGTGATAGCCCACCTATTGAATCCGTCCAACACATTAATGAAGCACTGTCTCTGTTAGCTGGGAAATAGCGGGTGCTACATACATGGTCCAGGTTGATACCAGAGTAAGGCATAGCATTGTACGGTACAGACTGTTTCAGAAGTGAAAAGCTCGTAAGTCTGGGCAACGGATAAGGAAATGCCGCATCAGACTTTCCAACGCACATTTGGTCCTGGCTTTTCGGGATGAAGTAGAAAGCAACGGCGCCGCCGATGGCAAAGACAAAGAACCATATGATAATTACTACCCCTGACATGTTGAGCGAAAGAAGGTGCTGGTTGTTTTTCGTGTTGATGCCAACTCGGCAGCGAAGATGGGGATGCAGATGGGGTTGGAGGCAGATGGGGTTGGAGGGAGATGAGGCAAACCCGCCGACAATGGGCTGTTGTGGCTTGCCTGAGGCTTGACCTGTGGCTTGACATTTATGAAAATCGAAATTTGAACTCGACTTGAAAAACGGAGCTCTCAATTGCAAGTTCTCATCCCCTAGATCACCAACAACTTCCCAAGGCAATGTCGAAAGCAGCCTCAGTCAATCCAGGGTTCATCCGCCTCCTCATCCCGGCCGGAAAAGCTGCCCCCGCACCTCCAGTCGGTCCCGCTCTTGGTCAACGTGGTATAAAATCAATGGACTTCTGCAAACAGTTCAACGAGCGAACCAAACACTTTACTCCGAGCGTGCCCATCCCAACAAAGATCTTCGTCCAGCCAAATAAAACGTACACGTTCGTCACCTCTGCGCCGCCGACTTCGTATCTTCTCAAAAAGGCTGCTGGGATTGAGAAGGGGAGTGGGCGAACGGGGTCGGTGGAGGCCGGGACCGTTAGTGTGAAGCATATTTACGAAATTGCAAAAATCAAGAGCTCAGATCCGCAAAACGCGGGGCAGGAATTGCAGAAGGTGGCTAGTTCAATTGTGGGGACTGCTCGAAGTATGGGAATCAAAGTGGTGTACTAAGGGATTGGGACGGAGGCGCTACGTTTTGGTAGACGGACGGAAGCCTAGAGGAAAACAAATTGCGGAATCGGTCATAATTGTATATAATCATTATTGATTGGGCCCTATCATCGCCAGAGGAGTACCGTGCAAGAAGAGCAGTGGGGCGGGTGAAAAACTCGTGAGCGCGTAAGCTTTGATGCAGCAGCGCACAATCAGCGACCAGAACGCTCAGTGAAGTGCTTCCATTTCGAAGAGTGAAGCTGTTTTGTTGTGTATCTACATCTATTGCGTCACAGCCAATATCTTAGCCATCTCCATTACAAAAAGGGCTTCACTGCACTTTGCCTGTAATACGACGAGCATCAGATCCACATGTGGAAAGCTATAAAGTCAAACACCTGATATACGTACTTCGGAAAAAGGTATAATGCAATGTAATAGTCTGAACGTCCGACATCCACGGATCGGTCGCAAATTCAGGATCAATGTAAAAGAACACCGGCATATCGACTTCCTCTTGCGCAGCCAGCTTTTGCTCCTCAAAACAAAAACATTGAATCTTGTTGAAGTATTGCGCCGCCTTTGCCGGTACGACCGAATACGTCGAGAGCCCCACAATATCTTGATCCGTCGGGTTCAATGCAGTGTAGAACGCCAGCGCAGTTTCACCAGGCACGACGGTGATTTCCTTCGTCTGAGGTGTAAACTTCCACCGCATCTTGTCGGAAAGGGAGGATTCAAACTGGATTTTGATTTTGCGAGCGCCCGTTACGGGAACCATAGTTTCTGGCTCAAATTTGGAGCCGTTAGCGGTACGCGGAGTTCCATCCAGGCCCGTGTCCGAGCAAATAAGTCGATATAGAGGTACGGCGGCATAGGTCAGACCAACAAAGACCACAATCACCGCCCCAGTGTACCACATTATCGACATGTTCTCCTCATCTCGTCGTCTTTGATATTCGGCGCGGGCTGAAAGAGGAATTGCTTGGGAAGGACGGGTTGGGGTTTGCTGAGGGGAAGAGGCATAACGACGAATGGACGGAAGGCGGGAGCGAGAAGTGGTCAAGATGGGTTGCCGCAGTCTCAAGGGATTCGAGGCAGCACTCGTGGGAGCGAGAAGGGAGAACAGACGGAATCCACGTTCATTGCGAGGAAGAGGGGCGATACCATTGCATTTCTGCCAGCAGGGTTGTCAGCCATCATTTTGGTAGGAAGTGCGTCGACTCAACAGCGTACCTTCTGAATGAACTGCGTATTCCGCTGGCCTGTGAGCCTGGTGCACAGCTGCGCATTCAAACCCGATGTACAACTATTGAACCGCGACATTGTCAAGAAATGTGAGGGTTGAGTTGGTCAGAAAACATTTCATGTTGATTAATTGCATTATGTAAGCAATGCTTGAGGTGCGGCGCTCGGCGCTCTCAGACCATCCTCCAGACATCCTCAGCATTCCCATCCACATTACAATCCCCCCACGTTCGAAAGAAGAACGACGCCGTCTCGGTAATACTCGCCTGCAGACGACTGCTGTGCCAACAGACGTGAATGAAAGAAGGAGCCCGCACCGCAGTTGCCGCTTGCGACCAATGGCTCACCAAATACAACCGACCGCGGTTGCCCACCGAAACGGTCATAGCAATCCTACGCAACTTCCGCGGAGAGGCTGGGAAGACAACGCTCCTGAACGGCCGATTAGTCAACAAAGAATGGCGGCAGCTCGCTTGGACTCGGTTCTGGTACGCAGCGCGCGTCACAAATGCCCAGAAGGCAACGAACCGTCTATTGCACCCATCGGCTTTGGAAGTCATGAAAGGGGTGGAAATCAGGAAGTTAGAATTCGTTCTCGCCAGCCGCAAAAGCACAGGCAAAGACGAGATCGAAGGCATAGGCATTTTACTGGGGGGTCCGATGATGCGTGGGATTCGGGTGTTGGCTGCTCTTCCTCAAAGAAGAGCAGACGGAATGGTTCGATATCCCTCTTTACGATGTAATGTTGGATGGGTTGGTGATAGAATGGGGATTGGATTTAAAATGTGTTTGGGATTGTCCGCGAGAAAGAGGGAGGAGGCTACGAATCGCTCGAGCAGTCCTAAGGGGTACGAACAGCTAAGGGGTACTTACCGTGCCCATCAGCCACTATCCGCAGACGGTCATTCCCATCTTTTTCACTCCAACCCCCCGACCGCTTCACAACGGTGCAAAACTCAGATATTAAATAGCCATAATTCATCTATTTTTTAACACAAGTTCCCTTAGACTCTCAAATTCACATTGCGAGAAATTCATCGTTCCAAACAGTCCATTCCGACATCCACAAAGCGGCATTCAGTCTTCATTGCAACGAATGAAGCCAGTTCCCGTTTGGACCAGCGTCAATGTAACTCAGCGAGTAGGGTTCCAAGATACAAAGGTCGCAAATCGAATCCGCTTCCATCACACTGGGAAGCAACAGGACCATTATTCAGTGTCCTTCGCATATTGTTCTTCAATGTGTAGCGACCACTCCGGAACAAAAAATGTCCTTGTGTTCTCCATGAAAAGCAGGATCGATTTGACTGAGCCCATACGAGGTCAACCTCGTGAGCGGCAAGTCCGGTCCTAGCCCAGTAAGTGCTGACGCCTGTCCTCTCCTAATCATCTGAATTCTCTTTAGTCGTTTGTGAGAGGTTCACTGGCGATGCCTTTGAACCGGATCGTTGTTGGCGATGTCCTTTCACCCGAGTTGTAGTAGGTCTCCGAACGGTACTTGTATCCAGGCGTTCGGGGTAGTACATAATTTGCCATCCATAAGGAATGTTTGCGTACACCAATCATCACCCGCTCCAAGATCGGTCCACATATCTTCGCTGCGTTAGATGGTGCCATGGCCGCATATACATGCAGTTCAACTATCTAACCCGCTGGTGGAAAGCTACAAATCTCTGCCTACCTTGACCCACAAAAAGGCACCCTGGGTTGCATCGTCCAAACATAAGCGCAATTAGAATGGCGATCCGCCAAAAAAAAAGGAACGCTTGAGCCTCCCTTGAGCCTCGCCCCGCTCAGCATTTATAACGCAGCATTTATAACGCGCCCGGCACGGGTTTTAATACCCCGCAGGCGATCCCTCCGGCGCGGACCGGGAATCGAACCCGGGACTATTTGAATAGTACTGAAGCGCGATGACCATTCAGCCACGGCTCCAGTTATTGAAACAGTGCACACACGAGAAGATATGGTATCGAACATGTTCCCTTCCTCAGCCCAAATGGAAATCCACAAAGGACAAGGCGTCACCCCGATACCTCCACATCCACCTCCACGCTGTAGGCATCTGCAGCCAAAAGATGATGCAAACGGCAGTCAATTAATGATAAAGAAAATGAATGCCTAAAAGCTAGATGAGTATCATGACCATCCTTTGACGTGACCGGGAAAACAATCCGCCTCGAAAACCGAGGGGCAATCCCACGCCAGGGAAAAGAATAGTATGACCTCATAAAGCCGGTTTGCGAACAGGGAAGAGGACGATCGAAGAAAACAAAAGCTACGTCTAATAATTGTGCACTCGTCAGACTGAGCCTCTACCCCTTCCGGACACTGGAAAATGCATCACGGAATGGTCATCAACCCCCAGGAAAAGACGGGTTTTGGCAGTCTTTCCCGCAGCACTTCCCGTTTGGGTAGAGCGCTCCACGTCTCATCATCCGAGTTGATTGGTGTGACTAGTTTGGGAAAACTAATCAAGTACGAACGACTCTACATATGATCCTGAAGAGTTGGTCGATGAAGAAAAACAGAATACGGCGGCAGACGGATTTATATAGACGGTAGACGTGGCGCAGGCCAAAAAATTGATTGCAAATGATTGGATGGAGTTGGTGTGGCTGCCGAATCCATGGGTATCCAATCCACGGAGTCCATACACTGTCCGCCGGCTTTCCACCACAAGACTTCCTTCATGGAGAATCACTTGAAATCCGCATCGCGGAGCTTCGCCAATCGAGGTAGGGGATGCAGAATACGGGCGGGAAGTCGAAGGATGCCAGTAGCGATGGTGGAATATGCGTATTTGGTGGCAAAAAGGGCATAGCAACCCTTCCAATCTTTGGTTTGGGGCAAGTTTCGCCCCATAATATGCATTGACTCCAAGAACAGCGAATGGCCCATTTTGGACCCGTGACTAACTTTGGCAAGAGCGATCCCGTCGACAACGATAGACTATAATTAACATTGCGGGGAGACACCAATGATAGGGAATGGAAACCATCTAAGATCCACCAATCTAATGCTGTTCGAGGGGAACCTGTAATCCAGGCGGATGCCCCTATACCGTATCGAATTGGGGGACATTGGAGTCGGGAATGATGGAAGGGGTCGCGACGGTTAGATGGGCGTTTGGTAGGAAAGTGGTCTGAAGGAGTAGAACAGGAGGTCAATGGCAAGGAGCATGATGGAGGGGCGCCGATGGAGACAAATTGAGAACTGGAGATGTTTTGTTTCGTAAGTGTAAATGGGGTTTCTCATGGCCCCGGGCTGCTCAAAATTCGAATTCTTGCGGCCTATCTACTGGGTCTGGTATAAGAAATCGGACTCCTACGGACCATCGTAGGCTTGGCTTGGCCAAAGCGGTCCGGTTTGGCTAAAATCATGAAAGAATGGGTGACAGCACACTTTTCATAGCCATGGTATCCATTAGTTACTGTCGGTATGGGGTGCCGTCAACTTCGTTTCCCCGGATGCGGACGAAGTCCGCAGGACTCTTTTTATTGTATTATCCTGTCGATAATATCTTGGGGGTTGAGCGAGACGAGGCCAACCTTTGATGATTTGCGAATAGGCCAACCGACGAGTTTCGAGTGGCTTTGGCAAGGGTTTTGGGAGTGTTTTGGGTTTGGTTTGGGTTTGGGGGTTGTCATGACATGACATAACATTATGCGAATCGAGGGCATAACAGTCATATCGGATGGCAAAGGGGCGACGAAATCACCTCTTCTTGCCTTGTCTTGCTTTTTGACGGGAAGGCAAGAAAGGAAATCAATTCTTGAAAAAAAGGAAATTCCAACGACAGCAAAGCTTGCTTCCCACCCGCCCATGCGTAACCTCAACTATTGCTGAAAACCTGGAGATCTTATACAACTCTTAGACTCGCCACATAGAAAACAACCAACCCGTATACACTCATAAACGGGTGAACGGGCATCTCATACAAGAACCCGCCTGATAAAGACCTTACTGGGAGGTGAGAACTTATCGCAAGTGGCACGGAGTGGGGACAAGCTTCGCATTTTCTGCTGGCGAGGGCGGATAAGTGCAGGAGTGCTGTTGTCGGTGACCGGCTCTTTCATGCACCTCACACTTGGGGGTGAGCAACCTAATCTAACACGCCGCACCCACCCATCCTTCCCTGACCTAGTTCGGTATCCCTCACAAACCCTTTTGCACACTCTCACTTTTTATACCCCGGTATTCTGATTTGTGTAAGCTTACCGGGACCCAGTTGGTGTTCCTGCTACCTTAGAGATTTTCGTTGAAGCTCATCATCTCACTTTGTTCATTCCTTCTCTTGCGCCGTTACCTTTTATTCGCAGAACGTACCTCTAAATCCAAAATAATTCTGCCCCTCTTCACTGTATCTACATGATGGCTAGTGGCGACCACCGCCACCAACACAGGAGGAACTACTCTACCGGGTCTCCTTACAAACCGACGGTTGCTCAGGTTGCGGCCGCGGCGGCTGCGAGATCTCACCAGCAGGGTGGGATGCTTGCTCCGGGTCAATCTAGGGCTTGGGGAGGTGCGGAACAAGATCTGTTTTTTATCAAGAGTGTTGGAGGAAATTTGTTTTCCTGGACGCTCATCGGTTTGTCCTAATTTGGTGTTGTAGATGCCGGAAACGCCGGACCGTCACACATGGACGTCCTGCGCAACCGAAAGCAATCCATGCCCATCAACGCACATTCGGCGCACGCAGCTGCGGTTGCTGCGGCAGCTGCAGCTTCAGCAGCCGCAGACGAGACCTGGAAAATTGTCGGAAGCCCACCCCGACGCACATCATTTTCCGTTCCTCACACCCCGGAACGAAACGGGGCAGTCCTTCAACAATCTTTGGAAGGCGACGATGCGGAGGATCTTGTGTTGTCGCGCAAGCGAGGTGTGCGTACTCGTGCTTCTAGTCCTCCCAGTCCCCGCACGAAAGGAGCAGACGATGGCTATCCTCCCACTATTGAGGTCGTGGAGGACCAAGGCGATGAAGGCACGGGTCAAGGTTCGGGAAAATGGGGTGCGTTGGGTATGCAATGGGGCAACTCTCCGTCCATTTGGAAGGACAATGGGGGCACTACTTCGAACTCCTCAGACGCGGGCGAGAAGAACTCAAACTACCTTTCGCCAGAAATTTCTGTTACCCCCGCTCCTCGTCAGTATCGGAGCTTTTCTTTCTCTCTCGGCACTATGCGCGGACTTGAAGGGTTTGACGATGAGGAGGGTTACGAAGGTGTTACCCAGGAGCCGCTCCGGGGTGGGGACAACGACGATGACGAATATGCCGCACACTTCAGCCTTCCCAAAATTCGCTCGCGCTCCAAATCTTCGTCGGCCATTTACGGGCTTCTTGCTCACCAGGAGGATGCTTATGCCCTGGAATCGCCAACTAGCCCAACGTCCAGGACGGGAGAGTATCCTGACATCAATTCAATTTGGTCCATGACCCAGAATGCGGAACAAGGTGATTCGCTGCGCCACCACCACGAACCCTCGCTCTTGCACAGGCGGGCTTCGACACAACCGAGCCATGGTCTTATGTGGGAGCCCATTCGGGGAACTCAAAGTTCTGATGGAACTCCCGCCATGTCTCCTGATGGTGGCGACCGCTATCGCGCCGGAAGACGTTTCTCGCATGCCCCTGGACTCTACAACGATTATGCATCCCAACTCGTCGGCCGGTAGGCATTGCAATTTCATGTAGAGTCAGCGAGCTTGGAGTAGTGACTAATGGTGTCTGGATTTGCTATCGTATCCAGCACACCGTCTGTTGGTCCAGAGCCCGATTTCCCGTATGATATGTCGCGAAGACGACACTCTGTTGCCGGCCCTCTCTACAGCTCGTCAAGTACCAGCAGATATCTGGCCGATGCGCTTGAGGGTCTTCATCTCGATGACCACCAGGAAACGCCCTTCCTTGATGAGATCGATGACTACTTTGAAAACACCGAGCACCGCACAAGGGCTTGGGTCGAAGCTGGCAAAAATCTCCAAATGCAGTCATCCCTGGCGAACCACTTCCCACTCTATGTCGTCGAATTCAAGGCCGGACGCACCGACTTCTTCTACGTTGCGGATCCGTCGATCGGTCCAATCAAGAAAGGTGACCTCTGTATCGTGGAGGCCGACCGTGGCAAAGATTTGGGCAAAATCATCGTCGACAACATCCAAAACGCCCAGCAACTCCAAATCTATCAGGCGCAGCATGGAGACATGTTGGACACTCACGGCACCCCTCGTGAAGTTCATCCCAAGCGGGTCATTCGCTTGGCTCAACCCACCGAGATTACTTTGCTGGTTGGCAAGAGCCAGGATGAAGCCAAAGCCATGAGCGTATGCCAGTCAAAGATTCGCATGAAGAAACTGCCGATGGAGATTGTTGATGCCGAGTATCAATGGTAAGGCATCAGTTGAAGGGTATCCCACCTGGATTCATCATCTTACATACTCGCTTGGCTCACCCTAGGGATCGGCGCAAACTGACTTTCTACTTCGTGGCCGACCGTCGTATCGATTTCCGTGAGCTAGTTCGTGACTTGTTCAAGATTTACAAGACTCGCATTTGGATGTAAGTTTTCCGATCGGTGGCCATTTACGATACTTCCTCAAAGTTCATTGCTCACCCATCGTCACGCGAATCTCTTAGGTGCGCTGTCAACCCTGGACCCGTGGTGAAACCTACCCCTCTCCTCAAAAAGTAAACTCTGATCCGAAGAGGGGTTCAGACGAGGATGTTACCATTTTCTGTCACCTGCCTCCAAACCCCTCAGGAACCACTGGACGGGTCTCTTTTTTGTCTTCTGTCCTTGTGTGCACGGAAAACCGTTTTGCTAGTACCAAAAAATTCGCAAGAAAAACTGGTCTTCTCATCGCATACGTGTATTATAGTTCAAACTTTTAAAGGTTTAGTAGTGGAGTACGGGATTAGGGAGAGGAGGGGG